ATGGTGGCGGTAGAATCCTTTTGAGGGATGTTTTATCTTTGCTGAGTCAGGTAACTGGATTGAGGTGATGGGAAATGACTGCAGCTAAATAAAGAGAGAGAAACCTGTTAAAATCTTGTAAGTAGCATTGTTTAATTTTTAAACAGGATTGGTTAACAAAATTTTACATTCGCATTACATTTTAAATATGGCCTTATTTAAGTGTTAGAGGGTTACAGACTGGCGACCTGTCCAGGGTATATCCCGCCTCTCGCCCATAGACTCTGGGAGATAGGCAACGGATGGATGGATGGATGGATGGATGGATGGATGGATGGATGGATGGATGGATGGATGGATGGATGGATGGATGGATGGATGGATGGATGTGTTAGAATAGCCCAGTTAAAGGTCCTACATCATGCTATATTTAAAAATAAAAAGAACATATTAACAATGAGGTAACGAGAGCATGTTTTAGCTCTTTGTGCAGGAGCATTTCTTTCAGAATAGGCAAACAGCCTTGAACAAAAATCTTCTTATTCAACCTCCTCTGGATGAGCTGTTTTTGGTTTTCCACAACCGCCTCCTGCCAAAGACTGCGCTCGGACAGCTCGCAACCATGACAACCAGCCAGAAGTCGTAGAGTTAGCCTAGGAGCGCGGAATAATATATTACTGTAGCTTGACAATGGGCTGCTACACACCTCTCTGGACGGCTTATTTCCCCCATGACATCATAAAGGGAATGCTTTTCAGACAGACCATTTGAAGTATACGTTATAGCTAAGAGGTGGAGAAAAGCAATGATGGGGTGAACATTTTTTTCATTTTTGAACTTCTGTGGTCGAAAAATTTAGATTTCTCTTGTTTCATATGTTTAGTTATGCCCTTTATTCAGTGAAAAATATTTTTTTCTCCGTCTGTTTCACCTGCAGGGCCACAAAATGTCTGAGTGATTTGCATACAAGGAATACTTATCCCATAACAAGCCAAAATTCTTTCTCAAGAATTGTTATTGTTTAACCAAAGTGTGTGCAATTTGTTTTAACTTTCATACAACCTTCATAGCTTTTTCCTCATTTTAAGTAAGGAAGAAAAAATCTGTCTAGATAAGAACAGGAGAGATTACTCTGCCATAAGGGCCGTATCATTAACCATTTTCTCTTTGTGTTCTTTCTTTTTATTTAACTAGGGTTAATAGTTGAATACTTTTTTTTTCCCACTACAACCTCATACACAGGATTCAGGACACACTGTTACAAAATGTTAATAATGTGAATTTTACATAGAATCCAGAATGCGTAAGATATTTACAATGAAGATTGATTAATAAACCTCAGTTCATTTCAATCAACGCAGCTTTAATTGCATGAAAGAGTTGTTTTACAAAATACTGATATTTCCACTACACTATATTTTTATCTGTAAATTGATTTATAAAAAAATGCTCTCAGGAAATGTCACAGTGTACTTAATAATTTGCATATTGTTAAGGGAAACCACTGTGACAATAAATCAAATATCCCTGCACTGAGGGCCTCAATCTGGTTTTGTCTGCACAACAGGAAACTCTAGCTGCAGCAGATTCTTTAAACCCACATTCAGGCTCAGTAAATAGACTCTGAATACACCTATCTATCAATGAGAAAAGCTTGATGCCAAAGACAGTGTGTACCTTTCAAACAACTCCTACCTCTACACCTGTCTGTCTGAATCAAAATCTGCAGAAGAAAATCATCCGATTAATGCCAAAGAGTGATGTGCAACTGAAATTTTTTTATATATATATTTTTTAACTTTACACTTGAGGACAAACAAATCGTTCACATTCTAAATGTGATCTATTTCACTCGTTAAAAAAATAATAAAGCTCCTGTATTGCTCAAGTTTTATAGAATCAAGTGAAAATATGTTGTTAATGTACAGGACAGTGAATTTTGGTTGTGAGAGGTTGTTTGGACCACATACTGCTGAGATCATGTGATGATTGCACAATAGATGAGAGGTGCTTTAAGCCCTGAATGTACTGCCAGCACTCATGCATAGAGACAGAGATGCATGCATTTTACAATCACCAACAAATTCACCATGTGTATTTTCAAATTGTAAGAGGAAAGCAAAAAAGTTGACAAAACAGTGAATGAATTAGTTATAGGTAATTTATGCATCAAATAACTCACAAATACATGTGCTGCTAAAAGCAGCTTACCAGAAACCACTGTAAATGTTTGGCTAATCTGTAATATTTTATATACTCCTTGCACAGGTAGAGAGGGCAGTTTAACACCTTCTCTACTTGTGCAAGGAACTAATTCCTTGCACCCCAATCAGCGATTATTGATATTTATAAATCCTACAGGTGTTCCAACTTCTCTTGATTCCTTATAGCCCCTTATGTCTGCACAAAAGAAGTAGTGGGAAACATTGTGGTACCACATCTTCATGAGAATCAGCTGATTGGTATTTTTCTGCAGAAAGGGATGGCTTGCAATGAAACTTGTAATAAAAAGGCAATTAACAATGGAAAGGAGACAGAAAATCTTTACACTAAAAAAAATCTAATTATTTTCTATGAGGAAATTGCAAAAAAAGTCAAGGTGTCAGTGGAAACCTGACAGACAACACTTTGGATGTCCCAAAGCCACATCTGAAGTGGAGGACAGGTTTCTGAGAAGCTTTGATAAAGCTTGGAAAAAGACAGGTGGCTTACAGCAGTGATTCCCAACCAGGGGAACACAAACCCCTACTGGTTTGCGAGTTTGTTGCAAGGGGTATATGAAAATATTTTATTTCTTAGGTAGTAAAATAAGATAGGGCTCGGATCGGTTTTGCTTTGTGAGGATCCAATTGAAACATTAAACAATACTTTATATATCAAAAAGTTTTTCTTATATGTTTGAGTTCACAGAAACGAGGCAGAAGAACAGACTGGATGTAGAGAACAGCCTGGTATCAGCTGTTTTTCACAATGAGCTATCAAAGTTCATCAAAGCGGCTAAGGTGTTTTGATAACAACAAATTAAAACTATTTAAGTCAGTCAGACAATAATTTTTGTTCTGTATTTTGTTTCCAATTCATAAAGTTTAAATTTGATTATAAGAACGTTACTCAGAGGAGCTCCAGTTTTATGAATACAGGTTTAGAAAATGATTTTATTATGTGATTTTGTTTTTCTTACTAACTTCCAGGCAACATATTTATGTTTTTTTTTTTTTTTTTAGATATAAAGAATAAAATGCTCAGGTTAACAGACTTAGTAAAATTGTTTTTATTTTATAATCAGTTCTTGTACATTCCACTTTTGGACGATCATCATTACTTTTGACTGAGAGGGTACTCATGATAAGATAAAATGCTCAAAAGGGGACACAAGTCAAAAAAGGTTGGGAAACACTGGCCTACAGGCCCCGAGCTTCAGGTACAGCTTAATATTAGTGGTAAGCATGTCCAAGTTTTAGCTGTGAAGAGAAGACGGAGTTAGAAAACAAAGCCTGACTGGAAGAAAGTATTATGGACTGCAGAGACAATGTTTAATATCTCTAGTTCATCAGCAGTGGCGTGCACAGGCTTTTTAAAGGGCAAGGCGAAAAAAATAAATAAAAATACAGCCACACATAGATCGTCCTTACCTCTGAAGGGGACACTTAAGCATGTGGTCTGGCTGCCGATAGAGCACTTTATCTCACATATTGGCTCCCAAAAGGATCTTTAGCATTCTGGCTCCAAAGAGGAGAATTTTACATGCATGTCAGCTCTCAAGAGGGTACTTTAGAGGGCGTGTTGGCACCCAACAGTGCTCTTTAGCATGTGTTTTGACTGCAGGGAGGGGACTTTGGTGCATGTTATTGCTCCCAAGAGAACACTTCAACATGCCTGTCAGCTCTCAAGAGGGGACATTAGAGGGTGTTTGCAAAGCAACCTGCAAGTGCTACAAATTTATGTGAACCTCTGTGTCAGATTGAGAATAAACCATTATTAAGAGAATGCTTCCTGTTTTAAACAGAAAAAAAATAAAATAAAATTAGGTTGATCTAAAACTTTTAACCGAGTGTGTATGTGTCTACTGGGCAAAAGTGGCGTCAAATGAAGGAGTTTGCCCTGAAACTGGAGGGTTGTTGGTTCAAGCTCCGGATTTCAAGGTTCTTTTGTCCTTGGGCAAGACACCCTACCTGCATTGCCTACTGATGGTGGCCACATGTCATTTATCAGAGGGCCTTGCATCTGTCTCTATGTGTGCATGAATGGCTGAATGACTAAATGTAGAGTAAAACACTTTGGTGAAGTCTCCTGAATTGAAAAAGTGCTATATATGTAAAAGCAATGGCGTAACAAACCTCTTAGGGGCCCCGTCACTGACACCTGGTTGGCCCTCTATGCAATCTTGGACTAGGACGACTCTTAAAATTCCTCTTAAACCCACCTGATACTAGGATAACTGACCGGACCTTATTTATACCCCAAGACATGGCAGGATTCAGTGGTACTTTTAATTACTATCTTAATAACTGTGTATAATTTATTAGACAGTTGGTAAAAATTTGTACTTCATATGGGGCCCACCCAGATAATGTTGCTTGTGTCGTTACACCATTGTGTACAAGCCCTTTACCATATGACATGCCAACTGATTGTTTAGGAAGGGTCAGAAGAACAATTTTTTTCTGTCCTGCTATGATTCATGTTGGACTTTAATTTGAACCGTGTGATTTGGTCAGATGAGATTAAAATTTGGGTTTTTGGAAACAAGCTTTAGAAGATGTAAAGTAAATAAATGTGCAGTGAATCACCTCATCTCACTGTTAAGGGTTAGGGTAAGGTGGAAGTCCTATGATTCTGTGGGCCTGTGTTCTCCATGGAAACTTTGCTGGAGTGCATTGCTTCATGAACTGTTTATTCTGTGTTAATTTAAAGCCTTTTTTGTGTGTGAGCAGAAAAGCCAATTAAAACACGAAGAGCTCTGAATCTGCGCGCTTGCCCTTTAAATAAAAAAGAAACTTCCGTACAGGAAGTCCCGCCCCCTCCAGTTTTCATACAAAGCAGTTATCGGGCTCCTCGTCCGCCAGGTCTTGTGATTTTACAGTCCTGCTGTGAACATGAGCGCTCTGCTGGAGTTAACGTTCGTCCTGCTGGCTCTCGCTTCCTGCCGGGGGCTTCAGGACAGCGGCATCGACGAGGAGCCCGAGCTTGTTTTCCAGCCCTCCAAATTCGGCTCCCTGTGGCCTCTGCCGCAGAAAGTCCAAATCTCGGAAGTTTCCTTCAAGCTCAGTCCCTCTAACTTCCAGATCTCTGATGCCAAAGAGTCCCGGTCCGGTTCGAGCTGCAGCCTCCTACAGCTGGCTTACAGGAGGTCTGTCTGAAGGGATTCTTTCTTTTTTCTGTCTCCCTGTCAGGCAGCGTCGTGATGCTTTTACGGACCGGTTTCCTTCTTGCTCCTCTCTCTCTGCAGGTACTATGATTACATGTTTGAAGGTGTTAAAAAGGTGGATAGAAGCGCGAGAGCAGATCCCACAGAGCTTCTGGAGCTGCAGGTGTGGATCACATCACCTGACACTGAGTGTGACAGTTATCCAACTGTGTCTTCTGATGAATCATGTGAGTCTTTCTATTTCCTCATTCCTGTGGGTGCAGGTAGGAACTAGATCTGGGTCCCATAAAGATGATAAACAATTTATGTAAACAGTGACCAGTTATGTTGTCTGTTTTGCATTGAAACCCCACCACAACTGAAGACGGATTTAATTTAAGCTTTCCATTTTTTTTTATTACCCTTCATCTTATTCTGCTGATGCATTGATCTGCAGTTATCTTTATCTGCAGCAAAGCATTCAGATGTTAGGATCTTATCTTGTTTTTTTTTTAGATGCGGTGAAGTGTCTGTTGGTTGGAATAAGCGACATGAATTAAATTATATTTGACATTCTATTAAAAATAAAAACGTAGTCATCTTACTCAAAATCTTCAGATTTAATGATTCCTGGTGTCTCCTGTGAAGATGTGAGGATAAAAAGATGTTGGGGAAACGGACCTGTGCCTTGCTGTTAATAACTGTGTAAACTCTTTTTGCCAATAGCAAAAACAATAGAACAGAGAGGGATCATTCCAGTCATCCCTTTTGCACAATCTCCTTTGATTATTCAGATCCCTGGCCCCTGTCCTTTTCATGTTTTCTATAGGATCTATCTAAGGACTAAGATAACCTCAGAAGCAGGGTCATTCAGCCATCAGTGATGGATCATTATTCTGTTGGAAGGCTCAGTTATGACTTCTTTCACAGTTAACCTTTACATTTTATCATTTAAAGAAATAATCTATCAAAGTTCTAAGTGCATACTGAAGAGAATCAGGCCCACAGCACTACAGACCCTCTGCCGTACTTGGTTGTAGATATGAGGGGCGTTTCTGCTTATTGTTTAAGCCCATCTAGAGTTTTAAACATCACAATTGGTTGTAGTAGCATGCATATAGATCATCGCTTCATTTTAAATAATAAAGATCAGATGACTATATATTGCTTGTAGCCATTTCCTGATTTATAAGGTTAACAGTCATCTACTTAAGATGGTATGCACATTTTTTATGAAATGTTCTCACCATATTTGTCCCCTGAAAACAGGAAGTAGGGGATTGCTTAACATAAGAGCTTTGAAAATGTTTGTGTCCTATAAGCTATAAATCAGAACACCGGTAACAGTTAAAGTAATATAATTTTTTATTGTACTTTAATTTTATTGGTGCACTTTTAATTTTCTTAACCTGAAATTCTGGAATAAAAGAACATTTATTTCTGACTTCTACTTTAATGCATTTAGATAAAGGGTGCTAACATTATTTAATGGCTGTGTTTTTGTTTTTGTATCAAGTTTGCTTTTGATTTACCGGCTGTTAAAATGTAAAAGGTCATTTATTTCAGAAAATGATCACATGGTGGAAATAAACGTGACTTTTAGTGTAGAAAAGTCCAGAGTCGGCAGCCAACATGATTCATTTAGACAATGCACTTGTTCAAAAGAAAAAACAGAAGCCGCAGGGATATTTTTCAATGAGTGGCTTAACTTCAACAGATAATTTGAATAAAAAAGAAAGTTTAACAAATTTGAGGTGCTTTGTCTTGTTAAAGTGTTGCATGGAACAGATAGGAAGTAAACACTAGAACTTCTAACTTCTGCTACGACTGTTTGTTTTTACAGATGAGCTGTCCGTGGATCAGCCAGTTGCTGTACTGAAAGCACCGAAGGTCTGGGGAGCCTTGCATGGTAGGATTTTATTTACCAATGGGTCTCACATTCTATACCGCGTGGATCACACTGCACAGAATTGACTGGAAATTCTCTGTTTGTATTCTTTTCTAAAGCGACTTGCCCTGCTAAAGTGTTCACACTCTTTGAACTTGAACCTCAGCTTCTAAAGCCTGGGATGCTCGCATCGCTCTTTGCTTTAGCTCAGGCCCTAGCTGATTACATTGATCAGACTTTTCACAAGTCCTGACAACCACGAATATGTTTAAATTAAACCATCAGTCTTAAATTCCAGCTCTTTTAGGGCCACTGCCCTGCAGTTCTCCAGATGCATCCCTGGAACAACACACCACAGTCCTTTTGGTTAATTTACCTCTTGAGAATTTAGGGAAGCTTAATGGTGCATTCACACTGAAGGCGGCGACAACGCAGATTGCGGTGGATTCACATATAATACCTATACAAACCGTGCGGTGAAGCAGCCAGAGGTGAACTCCAGGCAGTGAGAGCGTTCACTGCTCCCCCCTTACTTGTGCAACTAGATAGAGCTGAGGTGTTGTCAAACAGCTGCACCGTATGAAGAGAGAGGAGCGGTGATTGTGGACAAAAATCTATAAAATCGCGACAAGGCAGCAAATCAGGGACTGGTCGTAGACTTATGTTTTTTCATCGCCTCCAGCACAGAGCCCAGTCTGTCCCTACTCGCTGCCATGCATCCTTGCTTTCTGAGGGGTTAGATTTTCAAGGAAGTCCTTCTGAATCCGACCGAATCAGAGCTGCGTCTAGATTAACCAAATTGGACTTTTTCAAAACTTTTGGGGCTTTAAATGATGGTCTCCCCAAGGTGATTCAAAAGTTGTTCATTGAGAACAATTTAGCAGCAGTCTGTGATGTTAAGTTTGACCGGTGCTTTTATTGTGAAATGCCAACAGCAGGACCTTTACAGGAAATGACATGCGGTTGCCAGGGTCTGGGAGACTGGTGATTTACTAAATATTATCCAGCCACTAAATTAGGCAAACATGCCCACTGTTATGTTCATTGCCAGCACAGGAATGACATGTGATGTTACGCAATAACCTTATACCAGGAACGAGCGCAGCACTAACGTCTGCTGGGATGGTGACGTCATCTGTCATATTTAAGAATAATTCTATATTAAAAACCAAATTAGCTCAAACAATAGTTTTACCTGCAGAAATGAAGTAGCACTAGATAATTTTGATTCAATTTGGAGCTTAATGGCAGGATAGTTGACCTCTGGGTGACTTAAAAAATAATAATAAATGTCTCATAAACAACAGCATTTATGTTTTCATCTTCATAAATTAGCATTTAAAATGCACAAACCTGCACTAAAGAAGCAATAACCATTAGGGCTATTTGCTGACTTTTTTCACGTTGGTGGCGTGTCCTATTTGATGATGCGGTCCAAGGTGTAAACACTGTGTATCTGAAATGCAGAGCGCTGAACTACCCGCGGGGCTCGTGGAAATCACCGCCTGTTTCTCGTGCTGTGTGAATGCGTCATTAGAGTGCAAATGTACCACTTTGTTCCAGAATGTTATTTGATGTAATATCAGCCAAACATCTATGGTTTTCTAGGTGGCGTTGAACTTTCTTGGTAAGATGTAAATAATATTCAGCTTTTTCTTTTTGAGGTCTGGAAACATTCAGCCAGTTGGTCTATGAGGACGAGTATGGAGCTGTAAGTGAGAATTTGTACCTTTGAATTTGAAAGTGTTTATGAAGCCTTTTTTTTTCTTTTTTTAAACCTTTTTTGCTCCTTTTGTTTCAGAAAAGCATCAATTATACGACAATCAGTGACTTTCCAAGATTTGCTCATCGGGGCGTCTTGCTGGACACTTCACGACATTTCCTTCCAATTAAAGTCATCCTGGCTAATCTGGTATATAAATATTATTTCATTTATCTTATTTGAAAGTATTTTAGTGAACTTTTATTTTATTTTTATCACTTTCACCCCAACACTCAGGAAACCATGGCAATGAATAAATTCAACGTCTTCCACTGGCACATCGTCGACGATCCGTCTTTTCCTTACCTGAGCAAGACGTTCCCAGAGCTGAGCCGAAAGGTCACAGAAAGACTCAAACTCAAATGTTTTCTCATTTTACTGTGTTTCTCACATAAATGTCCTCATCATCATCTTCACAGGGCGCTTACCACCCATACACCCATGTGTACACACCTGCAGATGTGAAAATGGTGATTGAGTTTGCTCGCCTCAGAGGCATTCGGGTCGTCTCTGAGTTTGACACCCCAGGACACACACAGTCTTGGGGAAAAGGTGGGTTCTCTGACATCCTGTCTAGATTCAGCTTCTCGGCTCTTCTGTGGTTCACTTCCATGCGCTTGCTTCTCAGGCCAACCTAACCTGCTCACGCCTTGTTACTCTGGCTCCAAGCCTTCCGGCACCTTCGGACCAGTCAACCCCATCCTAAACACGACCTATGACTTCATGAGGAAGTTCTTTAAAGAGGTCAGCAGCGTGTTTCCAGACAGCTACATTCACCTCGGAGGTGACGAGGTGGACTTCACATGCTGGTGAGGCGTCTGATACTTTCTGATCCATCCTAAAGGCCAGACGGACGTTAGTGACCTTATTTTTTTTTTTTGGTCTATATAGGAAGTCCAACCCAGACATCCAGAAGTTCATGGAGCAGCAGGGCTTTGGAAAGGACTACAGCAAACTGGAGTCCTTCTATATCCAAAGGTATGCGTCTCATTTGATTTGTAATCTTTCTTTTGAAAATGATCTAATTCATTTATTTTTCTTAAACTGATAGACTTCTGGATATTGTCACTACCACCAATAAAGGCTACATCATCTGGCAGGAAGTGTTTGACAATGGTGTTAAGGTATACTCCTTTATTTCTTTACTTTTATGTAGAGTTTGTTGGAAAACTACTGTAAAATTGGCTTTTATCAATTGATAATAAACATTATGATTTAAAAAAAAAGGTTTTTGAAACACTTTAATGGTGCGTTCACACCGGAGGCGGTACCAACGGTGAGTGCGTGGATTCACATAAAATTCCTGCATAAACAGCACCGGGAAGGGCGATGAAACGACTTGAACTTTTCTATTAAATCGCGACAAGGCAGCCAATCAGGGACTGGTTGTAGGTGAAGCTTTTTTCACTTAAAATGGAATACAGATGTTAAAAAAGATAGAAATAAGGAATGCTCTGAAGAGGTATTCAGGTGGTTTTTAAAAAAGCCATCATGATTTGGTGCCAGAAGGACTGTTTATCACCTCCAGCACAGAATCCAGTCTGCCGAAAGCAGGACCTTTACAGGAAATGACATGGGTTGCCAGGGGTAACGCTAGGTCTGCAGCAGAGCATCTGGGAGGCTGGTGATTTAATAAATATTTAACAATCATTCCAGCCCCTAAATAGGGTAAATATGCCCAACATGACTTGATGTTATGCTATAACTTTATATCAGGAACAAGTGCAGCATTAACATCTGCTGGGATGGTAACGTCATTGGCAGTAATTAAAAATTAAAAACCAAATCAGCACAAACGATGATTTTACCTGCAGAAATGTGGCATAAAAAAGTAGACTAGGTTATTTGGATTCAATTTGGAGTTTAATGGGGGATAGTTTACCCCTGTCTGACCTAAAAAATAATCTTTAATATCTCTGAAACAACAGCAGCACATGTGATCTTTTTTATTTATTTTTCATTTTTACAAATGACCATTTAAAATACACAAAGCAGAACTAAATAGGCAATTCAAGAACCATTCAATCTATTTCCTTTTTTGTTATTTTTATTTTTTTCTTCACACGTCTGTTGGGTTTTCGCAACACGCAGCTGAAGCTCCTGAACTAACTGTGAGGCTTGTGGTGCCTTCATTGCCTCCTGTGTGAACGCATCATTAGACGTGTCGTTTTTTTCCCCCCTGTTTTGTTTAGTGGTGGTAAAGAGGTGCAAACGCGCTGCCAAATACCTAAACGCCCTTCAGACACAATGTACTGCAAACCCAATGATTAGTGGTGCTTCTCAGTTATTATTCTCTGCTTGTTTGGTGGCATCTTTTCTGTTTGCAGCACATTTCTAGATTTGCAAAGTAGTTTAAATTCTGTCCATATTCTGTGAATGCAGCATGTTTCTTCCTTAGTTTCTTCCTTAGTTTCTTCCTTTGCTTTGCTTTCTGCTTGCAGCGCATTTATTTGTGTTTGGACCTCTTGGCCACCATAGTTTAAAGTCCCACCCAATCCCATGTAGTGCCTATCAGTCTTAATCACATTTTCGGATGGAAGTGGATCAAAATATTGTGTCACATAATGAAAAAATCCAAACTATGCAGTGACGTTCTGGAATATTTCTGAATTGATTTTCCATGTTCTCCCCCTGCATAAGGATATGCTCTTTAGGTACTCCAGCTTTTTGATACAGTTTATTGACAGCTGGGTCAGTTCGTATGGCTAGATTGCCCTTAGGTATATATTTTTGTCCTATTTAAGGAAAAAGCAGAGGGTTTGGAATAATGTCCAAATACAAATGCAGATAAGAAACTGAATAAATGTTTCTAAATTGGAACTAAAAATAATTTGATGGGAAAATATTTACAGATTTACCTGCAGGTTTGTGCCTCCAGTTGATTTCTGTCTTTAATTCCACTTTGTAAGAGCTACGTTTGGCTTGTAACTATTGCAGCTGAAGCCCGACACAGTAGTGCACGTGTGGATCGGCAGTGGGACTAACTCAGAGATGAGCAATGTGACGGCAGCAGGATACACCACCATCCTCTCCGCCCCATGGTACTTAGATTATATTAGCACTGGCCAGGACTGGCAGAAGTACTACAAGGTTGAGCCGCTCAGCTTTAACGGTCAGTTTTATTTGATGATAATGGTGATTAAAAATGGTGATTAATCTTTTTCTTTTCTTGAATCATATCATGGTTAAGGGGACAAAAACAATACAAATTTGGACCTGATTTTGTTCAGCAGGCTTACATTTAAAGAAACTGCACAGTTGTGACAACAAGAGTCAGATTGATGCTGTGTGAACATGGGGCAGTGTGGTTGGTGGTTTCGCATGTTATTTAGTTTGAAACTTTTTTCTTTAATAAGACTTTTTGAGTTTTTGCGACACTAGAAAGGAAAGGGAAGGGACCACAGGCCAGATTTGAACCCAGGTCGTCCGCATCGATGACTAAGGCCTCCATACATGGGTCAGGCATGCTCAATAGACTTTTCAACTAAAATTCTATTCATCTAGCAGGGAATACCTGATATTTGCTATTGTCAGAAATATAAAAGGCGTTCTGAACCTTTGGGTTTCAGACACTTCAGAGCAGGAGTCTGCAACCTTTAGAATCCAAAGAGCCATTTTGTCCTGAGTTCAGCTGAGAAAAAGTTGTCAAGAGTCACAAATAATTTATATCCTTTTATTTCTTTTATTTTTTTATTGATACCTGTGCATTTAAAATGAATAGTTTATTTGTATTTTAGCATTGAAAAATAGATAAGGCAAGAATTTTTTTTTTCATAGGATATTTGATGATGTAAAAAGACCAGATAATTTTCAACCCTAATGACTAAAAAAAAACTACATTTAAAAAGACAATTCTTTATTTAATTTTTTTGTGAAAATTATGTGGATAAACCCAAAAAAGACTGGTAATTGTTAGTATACTACATTTGTTGTTTCCTTATATGATTTTTAAGAGCCATTTTAGAAGTTAAAAAAAAGCCATCTGTGGCTGTGGAGACTCAGGTTGCAGACCCAAGCTTTACAGGGATCATGAGCAGATGGAAAATCAAAACTCATTTTGATCACATATTTCCATCTGTCTTCCTCCCCTGTGTGTGCTCTGTAGCTGAAACCAGACACTATAATCCACGTTTGGAAAGGAAACCAGGAGAAATACCAACTTGAGATGGCAAATATTACATCGGCAGGGTATCAGACCCTGCTGTCCTCGCCCTGGTACCTGAACCGTATCGCCTATGGCCAGGATTGGCAGGGCCATTACAGAGCCGACCCACAAGATTTTAAGGGTTTGTTTTTCCATAATATATTGATTTTTCCTCATTGCTTGAAGGCTGCCATTCTCACCTGGTGATGCCTTTCATTAACAGGCTTCGCTAAGAGCACATAACATGTGAGAAGTAGGGCCCCTTCTATATAAGGAAATGCTAAAGAACAGAGGGATGATAATAAAACTGAACTTAATCCTGACTTAATTACAGTTTGAGCTTGCATTGGAGCACAGCTTGCTTCGGCAGGAAGTTATAGTCTGATAACCTGTTGTAGTGGGTTTCTAACCACGCTAAATCCGATGTTTCAAAAGCCGTGAGATAAACAGTAAGTTTAATTGCTGCAAAGTCTAAAGGTTTTTGCAGTTCATAAAAAGTTGCTTTGTCTGCTGCCTTCAAACTGACCCTGAGGGTAAAGTTTCATAGATCAGGCCTGTAAACAGAGAGACTCATGGATGAGCTACAGTCTTTCTGAGATAAAGAGCTGAGAAAAGTCAATTAGAGCACAGCTCCTATGGGGTGTACATAGTACTCAAGTTAAGGGGGGATGGCATCCCCCTTCTTAAATGACCATCCCCTGCGACATTTTATCACTGAATGTGTACATTTCTATTATATATTAACAGTAATGGTAATATTGCCCTTTCAACATTTGCCAGGCTGTGCGCTTACAAGTAGTGTAAAGCCTGCGCTATTCTGAACAGCCGAGCGGCAAAGACACCACGATTTGAGGGAATGTGAAAATAAGGAGGGGAGGGAATCTTCTGCAGGTTCTAAGTTTAACAAATAAAATGTCAGAAATTATCTAGAATGGTGTTGATAGAAAAATTGAGAATTGGCATCCACTGAGCAGAGTATTTATTCATCGCACACTGACTCTAGCACAGTTTCGGCTGAAACTTGACTCCATACAAGTAAAATCCTATTAATTCCAATTTATCTGTCCACCAAAACTATCAATTTTAAGTCATCCATGTATAAAAAAATATGAAAAGATTAAGAACGTGTTTAAAATTTCCCTTTTCATTCCTATTTCAATCTGTTTTCTCATCAATGGCCGTGAGTTTAGGGCGGTGCGTGCTCCCACGACAGGGGAAGTAATTCTCTGCACAACAGACGAAACCCGGAGGAGAGAATCGAAGCATGGGCCGATTTAGGAAAGACAGGCATGGAGCCCTCTGAATTGAGAAGACACAGATACAGAANTGAGGGAATGTGAAAATAAGGAGGGGAGGGAATCTTCTGCAGGTTCTAAGTTTAACAAATAAAATGTCAGAAATTATCTAGAATGGTGTTGATAGCAAAATTGAGAATTGGCATCCACTGAGGAGAGAATTTATTCATCACACACTGACTGTAGCATTGACTGAAACTTGTCACCCTACAAGTAAAATCCTATTAATTCCAATTTATCTGTCCACTAAAACTATCAATTTTAAGTCATCCATGTATAAGAAATATGAAAACATTAAGAACGTGTTTAAAATTTCCCTTTTCGTTCCTATTTCAATCTGTTTTCTCATCAATGGCCGTGAGTTTAGGGCGGTGCGCGCTCCCATGACAGGGGAAGTAATTCTCTGCACAACAGAGGAAACCCGGAGGAGAGAATCGAAGCATGGGCCGATTTAGGAAAGACAGGCATGGAGCCCTCTGAATTGAGAAGACACAGATACAGAAATTTCAATAGAATAGATAAACATTATATACTAAATTTTAAACTGCCTTTAATGATTTTTTTTTTATATTTTTAAATTATGCCTAGAAAGAAATGCAAAGTCAAAATGCACTTTGAGATATCTCAAATGACGTCATCTGAGTTGTTTTTTCTAATTGTCACACATCAGGAATTATAATCAAGATATTTCAGTTAATTTGGACTAGTCGAAACTACTGTATATGTTTTAAATATCCCAATTATGAAATACCCCCCTAGTGCTTTCACTGAGCTGTCCTAAGTGTTGCCTGCAGAATTTTGCATGGCTGCAATGCAGTACTTTCAAAATGCTATAATATATAAAGAACTCAGTAGTATGGGATGTGCGGAAAACAACAACTTTGTGAACTCTAAGACCCATTTTAATTTAATTATAATTTTTTTTCATACATTTAAACACTTTTTTTTAATCAAAATTTAGAATTTGTCTTCAATAGCTTCTCTTCTCCGCTCCTCTCATCCCTTCACCAGTGTTGTCAACTCCCCAGCAAGAAAGGCCGCTATTGGCTGTCCTATAAGCGCTAGATAATGCCTGTCCATCAACGATAAATAGCTTCAGTTCGACGGACCGTTAGAATAATTTTATGTCATATCTTATTTTAAATTAGCCAATAGAAGCAATACTGGTTTTCTGAGAAACAGTCTATTTCATAAAATAAACACTTTAAATTAATATTTGAAAGGTGAGTAAAATTATTAGATTTTATACAGGCTTATTTCATTTTCAATCAAATCCTGACCTAAACCCATCATGTTGTCACTACTGTGCAAGACTGTGTAAGACCTGTTGAATAAAAAAGGGCAGTGTATGTGTTATTATGCTTCAGAATTAAAATGTTATTTTCTAATTAAAAAAAACAAATAAACAGGAACTGAAGAACAAAAGAAGCTGGTGATTGGTGGAGAGGCCTGTCTCTGGGGAGAGTACGTGGATGCTACAAATTTGACACCAAGACTCTGGTAAAATATGCACATTTTTGACTTAATATATGTTATTTTCATATATTGTCCTGTGTTGACCCCAAACTTTAATGTAATACTATTTGGTGAGTTTAACCCTTAAGAAAGAGTGTAGAATTTCTAACCTAAAGGAAATGGATGCTCTGAAAGTAAATATAACGGAATGTTATTTTTGTAAATGCACTTGGCTGGACTATATGCAGGAAATATATTCTCTTTGAATGAGAATTTTTTTATATATATTGAATTTACAACTCTAAATATTATTATTTGCTGAAACCTCATCCCACAAGTATGGGTGTTACACAAAAAGGAGGGTCATGTAATCATGACCCTCAGTCAGAATATACGAGAAATTTTTACAGGTGAACTTTGACAATATATATATATATATATTTTTTGTGTATGTTCAGCAATTCAGTTTGGCAGGGGTTTTTTTTAGTTTTTTTTTTTGGAATTATAAAAATATTTCTTTTATATTCAACACGTCTCATTGAACAGGAGAAAAATGTTTCCTCTCCTGCAAACATTTTTGCGCAAAGGTAATGGAGCCTTTTGCACATCTTTGAACTCCACAGATTGCTGTGCTGTAGGTGTTGGAGGTTGGATGTGTTACTTTGGGTATCCACGACAATTTTCTGACAAACTTTGCAGTTTGTGTTCTTTTGCTCAAAATCTATGGCGTAATATTAGAACCACAGAACTGAGCACACAGTGAGAAAGATGTGCATTGTTTAAACTTGCACACCCTCACTCAATACCGGTGTGCTGCGCACTCAAATCTGACAACGTGTTCTCGACTTCTTCTCTGTGCGCTCAGCTACAGCTATGCACGCTTCTTCACTGGGTTCATCCACCATTCTTTTACACTTCTGACTGGATGGGTGGAGTCATGTGATTACACACACGAAGCTGGGAATATCAGACACCCTAAAAAACCCCGTAAAAATCCAGTGTATCGCCCAGGCCTTATTCAGCCCTTATATAGCGAGTCTACATCAGTGCAGGTTCACTGAAATTTGGCAGTGAGTCTAATGGTAAACTAGTGGTGTGAGAAACGCTGGCCTTAAATGTAAGAGTTGCTGGAAATGGTAAATTTCTCTTTCCCATTTCAGCTAATCATCCATATCATTATTTATGTGTCTGAACTATTTAAAATACATAGTTTGTTTGTAAATTTGCACAATGTGGATTATTTCAAAAGAGGCCGATTCCTTTTCTAATGACCCTTAACTGTGTATTTTATATGTTGAAGTTTCATTATACAGTGTTATTATTTTTAGGCCTCGAGCCAGTGCTGTAGCAGAGCGGCTCTGGAGCGCTAAAGAGGTCACAGACATCGGCGATGCCTACAGCAGACTTTCTGTTCACCGCTGTCGTTTGGTCGAGTAAGTAATCCTGTCCAGATATTACCAAAATATGTCAAGAAACATTGTGTATATCTTGTTTTTCTTTTGTCCCCTCTCTTCCATAAGGCGTGGGATACCAGCAGAGCCACTGTCTCCCAGCTTTTGTCCACATGAATACAAAGGTATCTGAGCAGAGCTGAGATGTTAGATGCAGAGCAGAAAAAGGGATCCACGCCCACCAACACATCCAACCGTATGCCTGGGTTGTTGACTGGGGAATAAAATGAGAAACTTCATCTTCAGAGCTGCCACTGTACTTATTAAATCTGTTTCTCAAATTGTATTTTATGTGACATAAAGAATATTACACCTTTTTTTTGGTGAGAATGTTCCTACAAACTCAGATATTTTAAAAGCTTTTGTGTTTTACTGTTTTTAATTGGGGAAAGCTGAATGGAAATAAAGTCGCTGTACATTTATTTTGCAGCACATTGGGACTTTGTTTGGTTGTTTTCTTTTTTTATCTAAATTTTTCTGAAGTAAATATATTTTTTTTTGTTCTGGAGTGATCACATCAGACCTGTAATTCTTTTAAGAAGTGCGCTGTGGTCCTGAGGGTTCATGGTGCTAACATGACTTTAACATGCAGCGGGACAAACAGGAGGACACCACGGCCCGTGCAGGTACCAGATCAAGTGATCAGATCTACTCGGGGCCCTGCGCCTGCAGATGACGTCATGATATGGCAACTCCACTTGAACACTACAACTAAAAAACTACATTGCGCCTGGCAAACGTGCTATCAGAGTCTATTTTATTTAGTTAACGGTGAGCGTTTGACACTGTCATTTATTTGACTAAATACCTATTATACATTAAAACACATCCCATTATTAATAGGGACACACAAAAGAAATGCAAACTAGTTTCTCCCAATGTAAATAAATGACATACATGCACACACGTGCTCTCACCTAAGGACTATTTAGAAAAGCCAGTTAACCAGACAGCCATCTTTTTGGAATGTGGGAGGAAGCCAGAGTACCTGGAGAGAACCCAAACATGCACGAGGAACATTTGAACTCCAGAATTCAAACAGTCTGAGTGCAAAAAACACAAAACAACCACCAAGGGTGGGTGGATGGGGGCCCAGGAAGGAGGAGAGCAAGGAACAAAAACAAAAACCAGAGTCAAAAACAATAACTACCAAAATTGGGCAACAATGAGTCTCTAGTCTCTCATTTACTGTATTACTTTAGGTTGAGGATTCACTAAGAATGTGAATGAATATTTGTATATATGGATGAAGTACAAACTGATGGTGAAAATATTCCATGAACCAGGTTAATGTTTTGCAATTTGACTTTTGTTTGAAAAAAAAAAGTAAGGTTGATTTTTTAACATTTTGATGCAAACTAAATTTTATATATTACCTGCAAATGTGGATCTAAATTTACAAAAGCAAAAAAATACTTTTTGACAATTTAGTCCAAATCATTTTCTTGGGAAAACTAGAATGAAAAGAAAAAAAGTAATTGAGAGGTTTTAATGGTCAAAAAACCTTTTTGAGTTTTAAACCTGACCCAAGATTCCTGTTCAGTTTGATAAGAAGCCGAAGCAAAAGAACATCAACACTTTGGCATCCCTGATGTTAAGGCTTTTAATCTAGGCTAATCCAATGCAGATTTTAGGTCGGTTTAAAACAAACTATTACTGTGCAATACCACTAGCTGCAAATATTGGCATGCATGTTGCACATGTTGCTTTTAGTTGAACTCTGAATTCAGGGCAACACTGAGAAGGTAGAATTGAAGTAAAAGCTATTTTCTCAAAGGGGATTTCCATAATTTCCAATTTAAATCCAAAAGGAAAGAAAAAATGTGAGATTTACAGGATATTGCACAATAAAAACAGAATATTTTATTTCTGAGCTACACCACCTAACTCTGCTAATATCAACTCTTAAGTGGCTTTAAAAAAAAAAAAAAAAAAAAAAGCTTTTTCTAACCCATCTTTAAAAGCTAAAGTACAGATAAAGCTGATATGAAGGAAATTTAAACTACGGTACTATAAAAAAACTATGTATCAAAATCTTGGGATTTTTATATTACGAGGTAATATTGCAATCATATTGTTACATGGAATTCACAAAGGCACAAAAGTCAGGAGAATATCTTATTTAATCTCAAGTTTATTATCAAACATTTATTCCTTTCAGAGTGTCTCTTGTTGCAGTAGATGTTGCCAATCACAGCTCCAGCCTTCTTCCCAACAGCTCCGCTAATGTAGCTTCACTGTTCATCGCATCGGTGACACCAACAATCCTCTTGGTGTTAATAGGAATGAAGAGTCTTATACCAGAAGAACTGCATTAATACAGCCATCATTCTCTGGGTTATTTGTCACCTGGGCATATTTACCTAAGAAGAAAAAAATAAATATATTTAATCATCTACATTTAGTAGAATCTATTCAGAAGTGGGGGAAGGTTTCCGTTATAAACTACTTTTTTTCAGAAACCCTGTGGTCAGTTAAAGGTGCAATGTACCCCATAATAAAGAGACAATCCATACAATCAAGCTGTCCTTTGCTAGTAAAGCTTGAAGGTACTGAAATGGAGCACTCACCCCAGATGACCTTTCCACCTTGTGTAACCAGGCCCAGCTCGCTGACATTGACTTCTACGACCGTTCCCTTTGTGATGACTCCCAGAGAGGTGTAGAGTGGTGACGACGGGTTCTTCTTAACGCCCAGGATGGGAAGACAGAACGTTGCTTTCAGTTCTGGATGTGTGACGTGAGCCTTTTTAAAACGCAGACCCTAAAAACAAAGACAGAAAGAAATGGGTGACCAATTACAAACCATGAAATCAAAACATTTCTATTCACACTGCACTGTGGGCTTACCATGGGTCTGATGAAACGCTCGTACTTTGGAGGTTTTCTTGTGAAACCGTCACCGACAAAGCAAACTTTAGTGACCATCCTCTTCCAGGCTTTCTTTTGTCTCTTTCCAGTCCGGATGACTTTAAGCACTTCTGTTTCTCCTTGGGCGCGAACCTTTGGCAGAGGCACCTCCCACTTGCCCTATAAACATTATGTCAGTTTAGCACATACAAGTGTAATAACCCTACAACAAATCCAATCTAACCAATTTTTAAAGGTCACTTACAGCCTTTTCTTTCCTTTTCTGTTTGATCATGTTGGAGAGGACCTTAGCACGAGACTGTCCTTCTCTGTCCAACAGGTAGGCTGGTACTGCTCCTTCAGGGGTCTTATCATCAGCCTTCTGCTTGGTCTTCCTCTGCTCATGCATTTTGATGCTAAAAACAACAAAGGCCAAAAATGATTTTCGAAACAAGAAACAAAAAAAATAAACGGCAACAAAAAAGCAACTTTTCTCACGTCTTTTTCATCTGGATCTTCTCTGCATGTCTCTGTTTGTGGTAAAGCTTGGCCTTCAAGCCGATCATCTTCTTGGCTTTGTGGGACCGTTCGTGGGCCTCTCTGCTCTCCTTCTTCCGTTTCCTTTCATGGTGGTCCAAGCGGTAGCCATGCCGCTTGCGATGTAACTCAATGTGCTCGTTCTGAGGCTGAAGAACAAAGTGCAGAGTTGGATAATTAATCTAAATTTGAATCAGGACTGAAGCGAACCATTTACTAATTAATTTCAAGGCTTAATATGTAAAAAAAAAACAAAACAAAAAAAAAACACTAATGGCCTCTTTAAACAATTATTGCCAAGAGCTCTGTACCATTTTAATGAAAATATCCCATTCTTTTTCTTGTCTGTTATAAATAGAACTTTTTTTTTTATTACTGGTATCTGAGTGCCAGAGGTTTCAACTGTGGTAAGCCTTTCAATGTGCTACCACAAAAAAAAATGTTATAGCAGAAAAAAGGAAAGATTGTTGGGTAAAAAAAAAAAAAAATACAACACCACAAATAATTCATTAACCCTTTGTAGACACAACATAAAGTAAAACAGTGTCAGGCGGTTGGATAAGTTTAAAAAAAATCAGCATAATTTTTGTTTATTATGAAGACAGTTACTACACAATCAAGTGGCAAATGCATGGGATTGATTTTGGGTTGTTGTGCTTTCTTGGGTTCATGCAAATTATCTTAAGTAAACTAATTCCTTTAGTTGTAGATAAAAAAAGCCTTCTATCAGTCTAGTTGTGAGTCAACATGCATTAACTTTTTAATAATTGATGGGCCATAAACAGATATCTTTAAAAACTGATTTTTTTTTTTACAATAAAGCAATGTGACTTGCTCAGAGCGCAAGATGATTACACATTGGAAATACATAGATTGTAAGATCATCTCATTAGTTAGTTATTTTTTTAATATGAAAATCACAAATTATTTCTGGTTTGCACAACATCAAGCGATTTGAAACAATCAATTAGCCCTTGTTTTACAATACTTTTTTTTATCTTCAAAACCAAACACTGGTAGTTTAGTTACAGTCGGTAACGGATCATGCTATGTCAAACTGTGGCCCTAAGAACACGAGAAGCTAGTAACATAGTCACACTTTTAAAGTAACTAAGCCAAAACTACGAAACCAATTGTCTGTTAAAAATTTAAAGCAGAGAATGTAATAAATGTAGACATTTAACAGCAGAACATAATGTGGATTTGAACAAAAAAGGGCCTCGATGAGAGCAGTCTGTCCTGATTAGCACATGCGGACCAGAGCTAAAAGCTAGCTAAAGCGTTGGATAGTTTGCCAACAACGGATTAACAACATTTAAACGATCGTCTTTCTTACCATTTTGTACTTAGTATGATACTTGCTCCAGATATTACGGTAACGCTGGTTTAAATAGGTAAAGACACGGTGTTTGTTGGTGTTTTTTCTTCAGGCTGGGGGTTTTCTGATGTTGTTTTCCCCGGAGCCGACACTTAGAGGAAGTGCGTCACTGCTGTGAAACGACATATCCGGTTTTTCTTTTCTTTTTTTCGTAAAACATTCTCTACTGAAACAAAAGGTTTCCATTACAAAACAAAAAATATATAATAATAAAAACAAATGTTTAAATTTAAACAAATTTATAAAAAAGGTGAATTTACTTTTAAAGTCGGAACCAATGTCGGTAACCTAAGTTTTCCAGGGGATGTATTTTGGGGTTGTCTCTAAACGTGACTTATGTGTAACAGAAATTATTCTCGTCTGAAGGATATTTTAATACTTCTCTTGTCCAGTTTTGTTTATATGGACATTTGTATTTCGTCCGTAACAATTGAGGTGATTATTCTTGGTCCGGTTTCCTTCTGCTTAAAGTCGCAACAGAAAGAAATTAAAGAGTTTTTATAACGAGGCAGTAAAGATGCCTGTGGGAGCCTTACAGACGCTCAACAGGGTCATTTGGGTAAGACACGTCGTATTTCTTTATAAATATGTTCACATATGTCTATAATTACGGGTTCGTTTAAAAAAAAAAGCGTTGTCCACAGGGAAGATGTTTATTGAAAGCTGGATCACAGAGCTGCAGGTGTGATGTGAACTGGCATTTAAGAAGATTTCATGGATCTCCTAAAGGTGCGTTTCTCTAACTTGGCCCGATTAATCAAATTATACCATTCATTAAATATAGTTTTAGTTTTGGAACTGTTGAGCCAACGTTTTATGCCAGTATTTCTGTCAGAATGAGTAACATGATTACATACACATGTATAAAACGACTTATTTGGATTTCTTCTATTTGTTTAAAAGTCTGGTCTGCAGTTTTAAGATTAAGGGCAATCCCTCTCACTGAAAATTGAAGGAAGGTGAAGAAAGAACTTGTATATTAGCATTATTTCATGCTGTCACTGCATATTTTAATTTACTTTTATGTGGTAAAGCAGCTGATAATATAGCTGTGAATCAGGGGCGTCAGCTGACCCAATACTATGCAGGGGCACAGTAGGGCACTAAAAGAAAAATATTTTGCTTGCACGTAAAGATCGAAGTGTGCAAGCAAAACATTTTTTGGACAATTATTTATTTTAAAAAAAGCATTGGCACAGATAATTAATGCAAGCAGGGGAGCAAATATTTTATAGCACTTATTTATTATTATAAAGCGTTATAAATAAAATGCACAATCAGATTGTTATTTTCTGCATCATGAATTATTTACCTGAACTGAACTGAATTGAATTGAATTGAATTGGCCCACTTTTGAACTTAATTGTATATCTCTAATCCACTACTGATGAAGGCGCAATTTATCGTCATTAAATATCTGTCAACAAACTGAAAACCTGAAATGTTCAACTGTGAAGGAAAAACAAAAAACCCTCTACATACATACATGTCTTTGTTTATCATTTCTATTTTGCTATTGTTTCTATTTTGCTCACATGCTTTGTGTGTGAAAGTGTAATTGAAAAGAGCAGATAAAATATGAACACCACCAGCCTTCAGCTGGAAGCGCTTTAGCATCCAGCCTTTGGCAGTCCAGGACCACATGTAAAATAGGATGTTGAAACCCCTCCGCCAGAGGGGTGTGACTTCAGAAGGGAGTAGTTCCAGTTACATCAGCGGCACTTGATCACAACATCTCCATTCTCTCCTCACTCATGAACAGGACCCCAAGATACATGAAATCCTCCACTTGAGGCAGGAACTCTACCGTAAGGGCACAAGGCACCTTTTTTCTGTTTGAGAACCTTGTCCTTGGAGGAACTGATCATCATCCTGGCTGTTTCGGACTTAGCTGTGAACTGGCATTGCATGCTGTAGGTCTGGGAAGGAGGGAGCCAGCAGAACCACATCATCTGCAGAAAGCAGGGACAAAATTAGTTTGTCCCCAAAGCAGAACCTCTCTGGCCATTGGCTGCGCCTATATATCCTGTCTTTAAAGGTTATGAAGTAGATTGCTTACAGAGGGCCGGAGTCTAACATAAACTGGGATCTGGTCCAAGTTAATGCCAATATGTAGAACATGTTCTGCTTGTTTTGTTTGTTTGTTTTGTTTGAGAATTGTTCTCACTGTCCCTCTTCCCACATTCTCTAAGTTCACCAGGGGTCAAAGTAAGCTTGAACGGCTCAGTATGGTAGATTGCTAAATGTTCCCCTTGCCCTTTTTCTTTCTGAGAATGTTTTTTAATTACTCCACAGTCATATTACTTGGGGGTGTTTTGACAAATTATTCCAATACATTTTCCACAACACACTTTTTAAAAGTTGTAGTAAAGTATTTTAAAAACTGTTTTTCCATTTTTTTTTCTCCACTTCATATGAAAGCATGATAAAATTGAATGAGGTTTGTCGCTGTGATGCAATAACATGTAAGATGTTCAGATGTGAGAAATAGTCTTTAAAGTCGCTTTAAGGGATACAGCATTTATGCACTTTACACACATTTTTCAAGACATTTTATAGATTTTCTTTTCTCACTAAGTTGTGATGTAGAAGAAATCGCACTCCAGTTCTTGTGCTGCTTTGATACCAAATTTAGCCTTTTGTATATATGTAAATCTTGATTACCTTATATTTGGTCAAATGCTGATTATTTACAATCATGCTTACTGTCACAGATGACATCAAGTCACTGCGGGCGGTGCTCAACCCTGACATTTCTAAGTAAGTGGGGTTTTTTTATTCATTCAGAAGTCGCTGTTGGTGGTGATTTTCTCGAACTTTATTAGTGTGATCAGTGTTGAGATGTGGTGTGTTTCTGCAGGATCCGAAACATCGGAATCATGGCTCACATCGACGCAGGAAAAACGACCACAACAGAGAGGATGTTGTATTACTCTGGCTATACGAGAGCATTAGGAGGTGTGTGCAGACAGCAGCTTGTAGATCTCTGTTTTCCATATTTAACATGTTTGCTTGTGCATACCATTTTCCTTCCATCAGATGTGGATGATGGAGATACAGTTACAGATTTCATGGCTCAAGAGAGGGAGCGTGGTATCACCATACAGTCCGCAGCTGTCACATTTGATTGGAAAAATCATCGTATCAACCTCATAGACACACCGGGTAAAGAAGAAAATAAATTTTTTTTTAGACCTGAAATATTCGGATGAAAGAGTGAAGGAGCAGCTATGAGTGAAGCTTTTCTGCTTTCAGGACATGTTGACTTCACGTTGGAGGTGGAACGGGCGCTTCGTGTTCTTGACGGGGCGATAGCTGTTTTTGATGCGTCTGCAGGCGTGGAGGTTAGGAGGCAGTTGTTTTTTTTTAGATACATGCTTATAGCAAATTCGTACGGTACATGTTTATATTAAAATTCCTAACAGGCTCAGACTTTGACGGTGTGGCGGCAGGCAGAGAAGCACCACATCCCCTGTGTTTGTTTCCTGAATAAGATGGACAAGCCTACAGCAGAGTGAGTGACTCACAAAGCTCAGATTCTGTAAATTATGGGTTTTTTTTTTTTTTTTACAGTATATTGAAAATTAAGCCATGTTTGTTTCCCCAGCTTACAGTTCTCAATTGAAAGCATTAGACTGAAACTGAAAGCCAACCCAGTCGTCCTGCAGGTAGGCTTTTTTAAAACGCTTACATCATCTTCATAACAAGGTTTTTTTTTATATACAGATCTCCTTATACTGTCATGTCCAGATTTTCTGTTTGTTTGTTTCTGTAAAGCTTAAATTTCTTTCTCTTTTATACCAGGCAGTTGGACAAGTTTAAAGAAAAACATAAAAAGAAAAGCTTCAGAGAGCCGTAGAAATATTGGTCAAATCTCTTGTAAAGATAACAAAAAATTCAACCCAGTTTTATCAATCTCAGTCTTTGGTTTCCTTTGGAAATACACTTTATTCACGTCAATGTGGCCACTGTGTCAGCAGCCTTGTTTCTGTTACTTTGACATTGGCTACAATGCAGCTTGTCACCAACTATGTGCTGTAATGTAATATCCTTTTACATTGATCATATCTGCCTTATATTATGATGACAAGAGAAGATAAGTAGCTTTAAGTACCTTAGGGAGTTTTTAAGGATGCTAATGCCCCAGTACTATGAGTATATACTTAAATTATTGCTCAGATCCATAACTCATTGTACACATTTGTAGCTCAAATTCATCAAACTAAAGCAAACTGTTTAGTTTTAGCAGGGATGCAGAAACTTCCTTGCTAAACCTGTTATCTTAGCGAGTTTATACTGATTGTTTCTCTTAATTCATCACTCTATAGTTCCCTATTGGCAGCGGGAGGAACTTCACAGGCGTGGTTGACCTATTGACCAATCAGAAGCTCACGTGGAAGCCAACATCCACACGGGATGATGGACGAACATTTGAGGTCAAACATCTCGGCCAGTCTGATGATCCAGAACTCTTGCAAGCTGCTAAAGAGGCCAGAGCAGCGCTTATTGAGCAGGTAAATGCCCCCAAGTATGCAGCAACAGTTAGCTTTTAGCTACAATGGCTTCACATGAGGCTTATTTTCTGAAATTCCAGGTGGCTGATCTGGACGATAAGTTTGCTGAGCTGCTGCTGACTAATTATGGTGACAATTTTGATGGCGTTCCTGCAAACCTAGTGAGTTTTCCATTGCATAGAGCCAGATAAGGCTTTCTAAGGCATCATTACATCTGGGTTTAATGTCCTTTCAGCTGCAGGAAGCTGTGCGCCGAGTGACCCTGGCCCGGAAAGGCGTACCAGTGCTCTGCGGGAGCTCGTTAAAAAATAAAGGTGTTCAGCCTCTGTTAGATGCCATCACTGCTTACCTGCCTAATCCCAACGAACGGCACCATGACCTGGTGTGAGTTAACATACAAATCCTATAATCCTTCCACCGTCGTCACCCTCACTGGCACATATATAACATTTAGCTAACACACATAGTATGTGTTAATTTGCTTAAACATAAATTGTAAAAAATAAAAAATAGCTTAGTTTAATGCTATGTATTATTTAAGTGTTTTAGCCTCAAAACACTGGTTACCAAAACAAAATTGCTAAAAAGGAAGTCTGATGATTAAACTCCAACTTAAACCAGTTACATCTTCTTCATGTTGAAAACCTTTACTCTTTTACTGAATGGTGTATTTATAAATCAGTACAGTTTTCTTAGAAATACATTTATATATTGTTAACCTTTTCTGAACATAAAACGTTAAACGGTTAAAAAAATATAGTTTTCACATTTTTCATCCTAAATGCTTGATATTCTTATAATTGAACAAAAAAGGAGAGGCGGGGGGTTATTACCACACTAGGAGCATTATGAACCCCCCTTTTCTCAGTTTATTTTTGGACGTGCAAATTGGGGGTTTTTTTGGGCTGCACACCTGCCCCTCCATAGAGGCAAGAGCAGGTAGCTAACCTGCCGAAGAGCCTACCCCACCCGCAGCCAAGCATAGCTATTCCGGGCCCCCACATCCATATGGTCCTCTCATACCCATGGCTGCCAGGCAATCACAACCCAGGTAGTCCACCCCTCTAGGCCGAGCATGGCACGCCAGCCAGCCAAGCACAGGTGCACAGGCACCCCCCCAGCGTTCCCCCAGCTAACTGCAGGCATGGACGCTCACAGGGCCAGGGCAGGCAGACCCACCCCACCCCACAGGCCTAGATGCATCTGGGTAAGAAGAAGACTGACCTACCTCCAGTACCCTGAATATGCACACCCTGATGCCCTCAATATATGTATGTGTTGGAAATGTTATAAACAATGTTGACTAAGGTGTTTATTAAAATTGGGGGTATAGGCCACCACCAGTTTTTTTTTAGAATGTTTTCCATTTTAATCAGATATAATGCCATTGGTCCTGACAGATGCTGGTACAAAGAGGACCTGTGTGCCTTGGCCTTTAAGGTTCTCCATGACAAGCAGCGTGGTCCCCTGGTTTTTCTACGGATCTACTCCGGAACTCTAAAAGCACAGACAGCAGTCCACAACATCAACCGGAACAGCACGTACGTCCTTTCCATCCCACCTTCGTCTGATCTGACATTTAAAGCAGCCGCAGAGTCATGAATTCTTGTTAAAATGCAAATTGAAAGAAGCCTTTTGTTTCCAGGGAAAGGATGAGCAGGCTGCTGGTGCCCTTTGCTGATCAGCACGTGGAAATCCCCTCAATGAGTGCAGGGAATATCGCCCTGACTGTGGGACTCAAGCAGGTAGTGCTTCATGCATCAAAAGAGGGATTTCTATATTTTTTTTTAACTGTTTGGAATTCAGAGGCTAGTGATGTTTCCTACATTCACACCAGACTGTCACAGGAGACACCATCGTCTCCTCTAAGGCGTCAGCAGCTGCTGCTCTTTGTCGAGCCCAAAATGACAGCGGGGTGGGGAAGAAGCGAGGAGGGCAGGCCGACATCATCCTCTCTGGAGTGGAAGTCCCTGATCCCGTCTTCTTCTGCACCATAGAACCCCCAACCATGGCCAAACAGGCGGGTCGGTGCTGTAATTACATTGTTATAGGAGCAAAAATGTTAAACATTAAAACCACATGCTACCAAGAAAAATAAAATACGACTTTGGATGGGAATACATGATTGCTCACATATTAAGAGGGGTCTGCCCTCAGACCTGCACTGTCAGGACCCTTAACTGCAGACCTGCACTGTCAGGACCCTTCATTGCAGACCTGCACAATGCACTAATGTTGCACTTGGTTGCACAGACCTGCACTGTCAGGACCGGAAGTTTATTTTGGGCGTTTTATTCGGAGCATGTATTTAATCCCAGGTTTAAATGTAAATCCTTTATTGTCCCACAATGGGGAAATGTAACCCATTCCCTTGGGGAGCAGTGGGCTGCCATTGTGCGGCGCCCGGGGAGCAGTGTTGGAATAAGGGTCTTTCTCAGGGACCCAGAGTAGCAGTCTGTAGGGGTGTGTTGGGCTTGAACTCAGAATCTCTGTGACCCAAGCGCAAAAATCTAACCTCTAGGCCGCCACTCCCCATTTCTTCCCCTTTTCAGGAAATAAACATGTATGTAAAATATTTCCAGTGTACTAGCTTTTATTTTACTTTGAAAGGCTTCAAATAAACTTCCGGTACCTGCCAGCAATTTTGTTAAATAACGGTGTAGATTATCATATTGACTTTTAATAAACTTGACTCCTTGGTGTTTATCTGCACCCCAGTTATTTAAAGTGTCCAAAACTTTTTGTTTTGATTACTAAAAGATCTGGAGTTTGCGCTAAACTGCCTGCAGAGAGAAGATCCCAGCCTGAAAGTCCGAGTTGACCCTGATTCTGGTCAGGTAATACGCTTTTGGGTTCAGCTAAGGCTTCGCTTCCGGCAGTGAGTTGATTGAAGCTCCTGTTCTTCGGGTCCTCAGACTGTCCTGTGTGGGATGGGGGAGCTGCACATCGAGGTCCTCCATGATCGAATCAGACGAGAATACGGCATTGAAACGCAGCTGGGGCCACTGCAGGTGGCCTACAGAGAAACTATTCTTCAACAGGTCTCAACTACGGGTACGGCTTCCCATGTCTGGCTGTGTTCTCTGGTCGGTTCTTAAAGGCTAATGCATGAACTGCTCTGCGTTTTGACTCTTTTAGACACACTGGACCGAACCGTGGGGAGCAGAAGGCATGCTGCATCAGTGAATCTGACCGTCAGACCGGTGGACATGGCCTCGTGTGAAGTAGCATTTACAGAAGAACTACAAGAGCAGATCTCACCAGAAATAAAAGAGGCTGTGGAGAACGGAGTACAGAGCTCATTTCTGCAAGGTAAAAGTGGCCTTAAAGAATGTTTCCCCCTGAGCAGAAGCAGACTTACCGGTAATTGTCCTCTAACTCTGGACATCAGGTTGTCTTTCTGAGAGAAATGTTCTCCATCTACATTACTTTATGCTGAGGGCCAAATCTGTGCTTCCTTCTGCAGGCCCGCTGTTGGGTTACCCCATGAAAGGCGTATCCACTCTGATCCATAGCATTTCTGTGGAACCGGGGACGTCGCCGGCCATGGTGTCCGCCTGTGTGTCCCGCTGCATGTTGAAGGTAAACCTGGTTATTTTCTCATGTTAGTACCACTGCCTGCAGCCCTGTTAACAGCCTCACTGTGGGACGCAGGCCCTGAGGCTGGCAGGAGGACAGGTCCTGGAGCCCGTCATGTCCCTGGAGGTGACCCTTGGAGAGGAGCACCTCAGCTCCGTGTTGGGGGACTTGGCCCAAAGACGGGGGACAGTGAGAGACATCCAGACTCGTCACGACAACAAGGTGCTGCTGGCCACTGTGCCCCTGGCTGAAATGATGGTGAGATTTAACATCTTCTGAATAATAAATAATCTGTAAGATTTCTCTGAAAATGATTCATTAATTCATCTTTTCACTCATTGAAGGGTTACTCCACCGTCCTGCGAACTGTGACCTCTGGAAACGCCACTTTTTCCATGGAGCTGGACGCCTATGAGGCCATGAACCCTCAGGAGCAGAGCGCACTTCTTAAAAGAATGTCTGGCCTGATGTGATATTTATTGTGGAAAAACATTTTTTAACATAAAAAAATAAATAAATAAAAAAATAAACTGCTAAACTCCTAATGTGCTGCAAAGAGTATTTGCACATTAAATAATGTGACTTTATTTCCATTAAGCTTTTCCAAATAATTACAAAAAACACTAAGCCATTAAAATATCAACATTTTTGAGTTTGTGGAAACATTCTCAACAAAAAAAGGTGGAATATATTTCATGTCACATAAAATATTATTTCAGAAACAGATTCAATAAGTACGGTTTTCCTTTGATAAAAACCTTTGAACCCATCTGACTCCATGCTCTGGTTTAATCGCCTGTAAAGCGCCTTGAAATGACGCTTCGTGAATTGCCGCTCTGTAAATCAACCAAGTAGAATTGATTTACAATGTGAAACTTTGAAGATGAAGCTTCTCATTTGATTTCCCCAGTTTACAACCCAAGCATAAGGTTGACTGTAAATCACAAACAAAAGTTTTGTATGTAAATATCTTTCTACTCTGGGCCTTTTTTTTGCCCATTTTATTTGTATTTACCCAGGCCCAAAATAATTTACTTTCAATTTTTTATTTCCACTTCATCCTAGAGGAACTGTATGTGAGTTGATAACAAGATGAGCAGTTTAGGCAATGTACAATATGAGAAATGCCTTATAAATATTAGTTTTTGTGGAAAATAGATACAGGCTTAAGAGGCAAGGTTGATGTACTTTATATTTACATTTAGTGGAACTATATGATCATGCTTATATAAATCCTTGACAATTTCTTCCTAATTTTTTTTTTGCATTTGGCAACAAGACAGCTTAAGGTAAGGTCTTATGAAGTCGGATGGGACTTCAATGATGCTTGGGGAGTATTTGGGAGTTAGAGCAGCGTGCTTGTGCTCTGAGAAGGTTGCAAGTACGGGGTTTGATCCCCACAGCCTCCACTCTGGGTCCCTGAGCAAGACCCTTAACCCAACACTGCTCCCGGGGCTCCACACAATGGCAGCCCACTGCTCTCCAAGGAGATTGGTTAAATGCGCCTATGAATCCTGTCTTTAAAGGTTATGAAGAGGACTGCCAACAGAAGGCAGCTCTGCTGGAGTCCAACATACACTAAGAAATTGTTAAACTTAATAGCAATATGCAGCCCACACTCCTGCTCTGTTTGTTTTTGTTTTGTTTTACTTTTATTTGGCATCTATACATTATAAAGGGTACAAATACAAACCATAAAAACATTAACAGAATTCATAACATAGAACAGAAAACATAAAGAAAGAAGGAATATTATAATGGTATAATAAAGGAGAGGGCATTTATCAAGATTAGGTTTATCTAAAGTAGGAAAGAAATTTACTAGTAGTTTTTTTCCAAATGATTATTTTTTATTAGATTTTTACGTCATTCTTTCATTGGGATATGAATGGTTTATACTTGAAGAAACTGTGTTTATATAAATAAAATGTAGCTAATAAAATCAAATTTTTGACACCACATTCCCTATCCACTATTTTCACAACTATACCAAATAAGAGCTCTTAAGATCTAAAGAAAATTCAATTCAGTTTATTTATATAGCGCCAATTCACAACACATGTCTCTCAAGGCAATTCACAGTTCAACCAGATCATACAGTCAAATTTATTCAAAGTTTTCTATCTAAGGAAAACCAGCTGATTGCATCGGCTCATCCAATCCAAGGCAATTCTTCACACTAAGCATGCTTGTAGCGAAAGTGGAGAGGAAAAACTCCCCTATAACAGGAAGAAACCTCCAGCAGAACAACGCTCAGCGTGAATGGCCATCAGTGAGTGCGCCTTCTTCTGTTCCGACCCTTTAAATCTGTGAAAGGGTGGAGTCAAGAGTAAAAAAAATATGCAAGTACTCTAGTGGCTGGAAGTTTGCTGCCACTGGCTGGTGTTTGAATGGAAATGGCCATTTTGAACTGCTTCTACTGTATAGCAGGGTGTTTGCATGTTACAGGAGGCACTGAAAAGCTAAATTTTGAGAATTATTTTTATCTTGATTGACAATGGCAGGGTTTCACTACCAACTAACAAATTCATTCTGTCCTCCTTTCCCAACTCATTCAGGTCAGACAAATTGAATCAAACTAGTTTTGTAGAGCAAGAAAACACCTAGAGGTTTAGTAGAGGATGTTTTTTCCAGGTGGATAATCAAAATAAGTGGTTCTCCTAAGTATCAATCGTTCTGGTGATGTTTACATAAGGCCGTCCTGCATGCTCGTCCCCATTTTCACTTACCAGTGAGAAGTAACAGCTTGCTGAGAATTACCTCCCCTCTCGCACAACAATGAGAAAACGGATAGAAATATGATTAAAAAGGAATCTTTTAAAAATATTCCTAATGTTTAATCAGAAATTATATAGAATGTTGTTGATAGCAAAAGTGGAAAATGCAGAGTGGTGGCCTAAAGGTCAGGGCATTGCACCTGGAATCCAGAGGTTCTGAGTTCAATTCCCACTGACTGACACTCTGGGTCCCTGAGCAAGACCCTTAACCCCAAACTGCTCCCCGGGCTCCACACAATGGCAGCCCACTGCTGCCCAAGGGGATGGATGGAATGCAGAGGTGAATTTCTCCAGAGTGAGATCAATAAAGTTCAATTATTATTATCCACTGAGCAGAGAATATATTCATCGTCACAAACGTGTCTCCATACAAGTAGAAATCATATTCATTCGACTTTATCTGTCCACCAAAACTCTAAATTTTAGGGCATTCATGCATAAGAAATATCATATACGGTACTTCTCGGCATATCACCGATGGTGAGTCTGACATAAAGGAAAAATTGCAAATCTTCTTTCGGAAAGTAAAGTTGTATAATCAATGCAAAATTTTAAACAGGGCGTGCACGGGGAGAAATAGGCTCCTGCACGCTATCACGCGTATTCAATAGGCGTTCCCTCTGATGAGCCGGTACAGGCTTGTGCATGTTTTTTGGGGGTTTTTTTTAATTGGAGAGGGCAGGTATTCCCAAAAAAATCACAAAACTCCTCCACTATACCTTTAACAGCGGTTGTCTTGATATATATATATATTTATTTTATTTGCTTTTAATTGGGATTAGAGTTGAGTTTTAAAAGACACTGAACATTTCAAAATTTTAGGCCCAATTTAAGCATTTAATAAAAATTAGAAAACATTTCAGTGACCACTTTTTAATTAATTATAGGTGAGCCAAGACAAAGTATGTCAGATATAAATCATGTTGGAAAGGACCACATTAATGTTTTTAGAAAAACTGAAACATTTTTCCACTGTAAACTTAATTTTCTCTTTACCTATTGAGGCCTGGGAAACCATAAAATCAAGTCTTTTCCAGACTACCTGAGATAAAAAAAACAAAAAAAAAAACATTTATCTTAAATGGTAGAAAAAATTGATTTAGAAATGTCTTTTATCAAATGCCCATTAAATCATTTTAAAAAATAATTTCTTTTAAAATGTATTATCTGGTGTTTTTTTGGGTAGAATCTTTCAGTATGATAGAAATGTATTTTCTCCCAGCATTAAAACTTCCTATTTCTGCCTTCCTTACCATCCATGTTCATTTCAAGCTATAAAAGAAACCAGAAACATTAAGTAGTTTTCATGATTTAAAGTCAGAGGAAATAACATGGCTTGCTTGGCTGCGGAGGTGAAGATGTGTCTTAAAGTTCCTTATTTCAGTGTATGAAAAAATAGATTTATTTAAAAATAAGCTTATGGGTTAATTCTGCCTAAAATGACCTCCTGCTGCATCTTCTAGACAACATGAAGCTGCACCTGGCGGTCATTCTACACAAACTGATCATTAGACAACTTCCCCAGCAGCCTCATGAAAGTTTCTAAACATCAGTTCAACAAATCACCTTTATTATTAGGGAGGTTTTGTTTATAATCAGAGAGCTTTCTATGTGCTGCAGCAGTTTGCCTTCACATTCAGAGGTTATATTTGGCAGTCATACAGGAAAACATACTTTTGGAGCTCATTCTTCCTTCCACCCATTTAAAAGTACAATACAGTCTCTCTAAAACGCATACACACCATTGTTTGTTTTGGATTATGTTAAATTGTGAGAAATCCTTTTGAGAACCATTTTATTTTTTTAAACAATCTAAAAAAATACTTAAAAGTGGAAAAATGGAAACATAAAAAGCTGTAGTAACTTTTTTTCTGTAAAACTTAACAAGCTTGTGTTTTGATTGAATGTTTGTCTTGAGGTGACACATCCAAACTCACAAAGAAAGGACTTATATTTTGGTTAAAGTTCAAGAAATCTGCACTCAAAAAAATAATGCAACCGCTTTTGGCCTTTTTCTTAATCATATTTAGTTACTTTAACACAATTGTTTTATTTTCTACCCTGATAACATGAAACAATTGTGTTAAAGTAACTAAATATGATTAAGGAAATGCCAAAAGCGGTTGTATTATTTTTTTCAGTGTGTGGAGTCACTGAGTGCTGCTGTCAAACCCTGATAAGAGTTGGTGGAACTTTGCCAAATTAAAGAGGGCAGACTTTACAAATCAATATGTTGAAAAGGTTTTATTTATAGGATCATCCAAATAGGCTAAACTGGCTTTTTTTCTCCCTTTCCTTATTGCTTTATTTTCAGGACTCATACATTTGGGCTGCATGATGTCAGGAAAGCTAATCTTGATGGAAAAAATGTGTTTATACTGGGAAATATTTCCATCTCAACAAGATATTAATGAAAAACTTCTAAAGCTTTGCCACCTAAAACATTCAACAGCAAGCTGCACGGTTTATAAGATCAGTTCATTTATTTAAGACTCGATTCCAAGCAGTTTTTTCTGATAATTAAGTTGCGGCTTTACAAAATCCTGGCGTTTTACCGAGGCTGTGCTAACCCTTTGGGTAAAACACTGCTGTGCTCTGATTGGGAAACACTGAGCCCACAAATAGACTTTGTGTTTTTAAAGACAGCGGAAAATAAATCCTTTCAGACATATTTTACTCATAGTTTTTGCATTTTTTTTTGTAAGATTTAACAGTAAAATAGAAGAAATAAGGTGTTTGTCTTTTTAACAAATGCTTTTCTCTATACAGCCTCGTTGCCCTCACAACAGAAACTATGGCTGCTTGTGGTAAACAAACTGCACTGGATGCTTAATCCTTCTATTAAAAATGGAAATTACAATTTAAGGCAGTTATTTCCTGTGGCCCCATCCACATTAACACAGAGATGAAGAACAACTCCAAAGGGAAAAGGTTCCCCTGACAGGAAGACATCAGAGGCTGGGTGCATAAAAAACATTGATAAGGCTCTTTAACCAGCGACAAAGCATCATTTTCCAATCATTTGGTGATTTTATTCAGCTGGCGTTGAGCTCTGCGTTCAGTGTAAGTGAAAAAGGCCTCCTGATATCTTGATGGCCACAAGGTCAGACAGAGAAACCTCCATAAAACTCTTCAGCCAGACTGGCCTCCTGATTGGAGTCAAATGTCTGCAGGGTTCTTGTCATTTAAAAAGTGCTCATAGTGACTCTTCCTCATGTCCTTCGGATGCTCACATTATATGTAGAAGTCCAGCTTGCTCTCTATCGTTTTACAGCCTTTGACAGAGAACACTCTCTCAGATTTAGGGAAATAGACCAGATCTTGGGCCACCTTGTCTGCCACATCGTGGTTCAGTGGAATTTTTCTGGCTTTCATCTCGGCCAGGACGCACTGGACCACGTGTTTGTACTCCAGAGGCAGGAAGGGAACAAAGAAATCCACCAGGTTCTTGTCGATCAAAGTTGAGCGAAAGAAGCCGCCTGCAGGGAGAGAAAAAAAGGAAAAACACTTTCAGACACAAACAGTCGAAGGGATAATTGATTTTTTTTTAAAACATACGCTGACAAGGCCGCGCCTTACTTTTATTGTTGTTAAACACCGACAGAGAAAGCGCCATTTCCAGGTCTTTGAGCTCGATCTCTTCTCGTTGTTTTCCCTCTCTCCAGAAATCTAGAGCCGTCTCGATGATACCGTCTCCTCCTGCATTGCTGTGCAAAGCAAAATAGAAATAATACATCTAGATTTCCCTCTTATTGCATCACAGAGAGCAAAGTAATGTGAGATTTCACTTACAAACGGCTGCAATTTAAAATGTGACATTGAAGCATATTAAAAGCATAACTACAACTAAACTTTGAGACGTTCAGACTCAATCTAAAGGTGCGTTCACAATGAATGTGAGACCTGTGAAAATGTCACCAGTTCTGTCTGCCTTGAAATTCGCCTGGCCAGTGAAAGCATTTTGCATGACAGGTAAATTTGCCCAGAGGTCGAAAGGCTCCTACGTCAGGATGCAATGTGCAGGATGTTGGTTTCACCTCAACATGGCAGAAATGGATTTAAATACAGACTGGCAGCGCTGTTTTTAACTATTGAAAGCTGAACAAGGCTGTCACCAGATTTCCACAGATGGACCCAGTATGGAGAATACAACAACCTCCTCCTTCAGAGGGTAGGTCTGGTTGACAGGTGCTTTCAGCTGTACTTTTGCCGATCTGTGACCCAGTTTGGGGCCTTGCTGTCCCACATTTGGAGACAAATCACCCTGACAACAGACTCACACAGACTCCGGTCTTACCGTTGCGGTGCGGTGGGTGCGGCGCCGCAGTGATTCCAAGTCATTAAAAAGACGTAAACCTCTCTCACCGGCTGCTGAGCTGTCCGGCTGCGGTTACCGAGACACTCCGGCGCTGCAGAAAATTCCGCAAGAAAGCTATCCTTGCGGCGTGCCGGAGCCCTCCGCAACAAGCTCTCGCAAATATCCTTATTTGGGCCGTGGTATCGCGTGAAGTTACGTGAACTCAAGTGAACTTCTGTTAAATCTCCGGACCTGTTGCTGGAGCCGCAGAGCCGCACCGCACCGTAGTCAAAAGGGCGGTGTGAGAGGGGGTGTGCGGGAGTTGCGGTCTCCGTCGGCTCGGTAACCGCACCGGAGCCAGTGTGAGCAAGGGGTTACCGGAACAAATGTAAACAAAAGCTTTGATTTTTTGCTTTGCTTGATTCGAAGGCGAGGCAGCAATCAAATTTAGCCAAAATTGCACATTTCCTCTCCCTAAATTCGGCACCTTCTCTCTTCGCTCCAGATCCGCCCTCTACAAAGAGATGACACCTTCACTCAAACTGCAAAATTCGCATTTGGCCTCAAAGTTCCTTAACACCTCTAAATAAAACCTAGCACAATGTGGAGATCTTTCAAGAAGGGCTAGTTTATAAAGTCCCAAGCTATTAATCAGAGCTCTGTTCAATGCCTGATCTGACAAAAGATGGAAGTATCTATCACACAGCAGCCAACCTACAGAGACATAGCCAACCTAAACTGAACAGTCAAGCATGGAGATCAATAACTACTTTGGAAACTACTGCAGCAGCTCTCAGGAAGCAGCAGAGAGCTAGCTGGGAGAATTTTTTAGCAGGAAAACTAATCATTAGTTGCTGATGAAGGTTCTCAGTCATCCAGGTCATAGTCATTCTGTAAAACTTCAAAAATATCCACTGGACTTGGTTTCCAAGATTTGAAGACGTTTCGCCACCTCTCCAGGAAGCTTTCTCAATTCAAATGTCTGGATCCGCCGTGAGTTTGAGTATTATATGGACAAGGCCTTGTATTGCTTGGAAACATGCAATGGTAACCGATGAATGGGTCGTTTAGTTCCATCGTTAGCCTGTAATATCTGAACCTGTCTATGATTCTAGGGGTTGGTCGTTAAAGGGGGGGATTGCCATTAAGGGGGGGATTGTCTCCTGTAATACCTGAAACCTGTCTATGATTGTTAAGGGTTGGTCGTAAGGAGGTATTGTTCACCGGCTGGAGCGAGTAGGTCCCTCGTCCAGTGGATATTTTTGAATTTTTATGGAATAATCATTAGTTGCTCCTCACCCTGAACATGCCACCCCTACTGTGAAACATGGCAGAGGTAGTGTTATGCAGTGGGGATAAATTCTTTAACAAGAGTAGGGAGGTATGGAGCAGAATATAGGGCAGTAAAAGAGGAAAAACCGTTAGAGATCAGATAAATAGTGATAATGACCATTAATATGCAGTTAAATGGAAATGGTTTCAACGGCCTAATTTAAGTCCAGATCTAAATCCTAAAATGCAATAAACTAATGACTTTTAGGGCTGTTTTAGAGTTTTATATAAAGAAGCATTATAGAAAATATATAAAAATCTCTGTAATTACTGAGTAAAAATAAAATCACTTAAAGTATCTTTTCTCCATAAAGTTAAATGAATCCGTACCCCTCTTTGTACATTTTTTTCCCCTAAGTAATGGACCTTTCTAACCATCCAACCATGTTCTTTAAACCCCTTAAACTTTTTAAAACATTTAGATACAAAAAGAAATTTTGTTCAGTTCAGCCCTCAAGACATTTTCTTTCTTTCTTTTTTTTTTTTTAAAGATCAGCAGTGGTAAAAGGTAAGCAGCATTGACAAATGTAAACATACGACTGTATATGATTTACAGATTTCAACATTCAGGGTTCTTTCAACAGTCTATAATTAGAGCATTTTTTACAGGGTTTTATGTCGTTTATGTTCTAAAGAAAATATTCCTGAAATGTTAAATTGGAAGGGTTAACACACGTAATAATAATAATAATACACGTCAACAATTTGTAGAGGATTCTGTTGTGGGCTCTCTTTAGTCTTTCTGAGGCTTTTATTTTGTTAATTGAAATTATATCATGTCGACTAAAATTGAGAGATATATTATGACAGAAGATTTGGCCTTTTCATCCAGCTCTAGAAGTTGTGTGTTAAAATATTCAAGGATCTTTATAGACTATGGTCAGAAGTAGCGGTTTCTCAGATAAGCAGGAAAACAAAACAAAAAAAACAAGATTCACAAATTTGTTGCAGAACAAAAATTTACCCCGCCAATACAAATAATCCAAAAATGCAAAGCAAACGTCTACCTGAGGAAGACAAAGATGGATTTCCGATAAGAAGCTCCATCCAGCTTCTCATAGTAGTCGAGGTATGGCTTTATCCCGTCAATCAAGCCTGGGTGCATTTTATCCATCTCATCAAAGATGAACATGGAGCGCTCACAGTTGGTCACGTTGCCTCTAATCCACTGCTGTAACTGTGACTGTGAACGAGAAATTAAAAACAAGTCAGGCAGCTGATCAGGACGGTGAAGAGCCAGAGATGCTGGGGATTTGTCACCTTGTAGGTAGCAATCTGTTCTGCATGTGGGAAGTGAAGGGTGGATGTAAACACGTGGACAAAGCGGCTATGCATCCCTTCGACGTAAACGCTTTCAGCGATAAGCTTGCTCACAAAGTTCTTCCCGGTGCCGGTCCATCCGTGAAGAGACAGCACCAGGGGCTTCTTCGGGTTGTTGTTGCTCATGAAGCCGTTTACAGCTTTTAAAATTATGCGGGACGCGATGTGCTGTCCGAAGAGCTTGCTGTCCAGGTCGCTCTTCAGCCCTGGAAAATGTACAAATAAAGGTCATCAGGAGGGATAGCGGCTGAAAACCAATAAACGTGTGACCCAAGGTTGGTAGGAATCCCACACATTTGTTTCCCTTAATTCTTGATGTGATTCCCATTTGATAAAATCTGCATTGTAAGTGATAACAATGATGATCCTACACATGAAATCAGAGCTACAATAAAGGCTGGTTTAAATTCCAGCCTTTCAGGGTCAGTGTCCTTAGAACTGCACAATGATGGAGCAACGGCCTCTTATGATTCAGGAGTGCTGGTCCAGGGACAGATGCAAAGGTTACAGGACACTATTCCTTAAAGGTGCAGTAGGAGATCTTTTCTAATACATTTTTTACCATGTGGTCTAAAGATCTCACCACAGTCGTGTAGCAAGCAGTAAAATAGAAGGTCTGGAAATAAAACTAAAATAAATGGTCCCAGTGAGAAATCACTGAATAACCCCAACCAATCACACGATTGGTTCCTGACACGTCTGCTTGTCCCTCCCCCCTGTGCGCGTTCCCTGACACATGAACTAATTGAACCCCCAATGCTCGTGCAGGACGCCAGTGTTATGCTACTTGCACACCTATGGTGACCAGATTCGGGTTTCTGAAAATGAGGACACTTTTTTTTTTAGCCTGGACAGTGGCGGCCCTGGGGTCGACCAAAATCCTGGAGGATTTTGAAATTCCATTTCATTTTTTTGGTATTTAAGAGTAGGGCATGTCTGATAAAAGAGGACGTCTGGTCACCCTATTCACACCTAAAGCAGCAACAGCAGCAAAAATGCTCGTGCTGCTTCATTTTTTATGCTTCTACAAGCTTAATTCTGAAGCATTACAAGCTTAATGCGGCTGAAAACACCATTTCTTCTCCAGCTGCGCTGTTTAAAAGTGGGTCTGATGCCGACAGATTTCGGCATTTTAAGTTAACTTAGGCGTTAAAAAACTTTCAGAGGAGTAATCATAGTGCTCTGCATCATCAGTGCTGCTCTGGCTGCTCTAGATGCGCTGCAGAACGCTGCATGTTCATGTGTTTTGAAGGCCTGGTTTTGAGGGTTGGTCTGAAGGGAGAGGCATGGTTGTGTATGTTCAAAAATATAGCTTGCTGGAACCGTTTTTCCAAGATCTCCCACAACATCTTTAAAGACCAGAGATGTTGTGCAGTTTAAATGGCCTAGTCAAAGTCCGAATCTAATTTGACAAAAGAACCGTTGGTAACACTCCTAAACATGAGATCTGTGTCTTTGGTGCAGGGTCATTCGAAGTGCTACCACGGCTGACCTTTGACCTAAAAGAGTAAGACTTCATGTACAGTAAAACCGACTTTTGCTGCATTTTTATGTTAAGATCATTTTGAAATCTGAAAAAATGCCGAAGTGATGAAAACACTAAGAAAAACAGCATGAAATCAAATATTAAATAATAGGGCATCTTATATGGTTGCTAGGGTTGCCAGGATGCTGAACTCAAAGATGTGTTTATGTGTGCTGCTGTTTTTTTTTTTAAATGAAAACTTTTTGAAAATTATTTATCTGATTAGAGTAGATGGGAGCATCTAACCCCGTGTGTCACAATAGCAATCAACAATCTGATACAATCAAATAAATGAGTTATGCATGTCCATAGCAGGCACCCTTACAAGCAGTACACCTTAATACACAAACCAAACGAGATATTGGTCATTGTTTTTTAAAGTTAATGGTCAAAACGTGTATTCTATAATCTTAAGCTGTAAATTCAATCATAAAAACATATCTTGTCGAGGATCATTAAATATGATCAGATGAATCAAGATGTGTCTACAGTTGTTATCTACAGCATGTAGAAACGTTGCCACATGTGCCACAAGAAGACGCAGCTGAACAAATACAAACATTTCAGGGTTTTAGTTTTCTTCCAACCTCACCTGTTGTGTTATAAGCTATCCATTTCTGATCGCAATTCTCCTGGAAGTATTTGTAGATCGTCCGGCCCAGCGTAGCCCCGAGACCGACTACCAATGTTGTTGTGAACGGATCGAAGGCGTTAACCAGCCCGCTGGCTGTCAAAGAGACATGGAACCAGAAACATATATGCGCCACTTTCATTGTCAGATCCGGCGGTTTGTCTTCAACATGAGCCGTTTCTTAATAACCAACGGCCAAAAGTAAACCGCGGTAAACCTGCAGAAAAAAAGAACTAGCTTGGTTTGCTGTGTTTCCGCGTACGTAACGGTCACGTGATTTCGAGCTACGTTCAAAACACCTACTGGTTGCAGAGTGGTTGAAACTTGAAGCTTACAAGTGTTAAACACATAAAAATAACGGTTATGTATGGCAGTCGTCGCGGCTGTAGTGTTTGTTTGCTTGCTTACTTGTTTTATTGAAGGATATCCATTCGGGTCGGCAGCACTCGTGGAAATAGAAGAATATGTTCTGGTATCTCGCTAAAATCCCGGTGAGAGCCGCAGCCATTCCCACAGCGATGGTGGTGCTAATGGGCTCCAGCGCTTCTGCCACACCGGAGCAGAGAAGCAGCCAGAGAAGCAGAACGTGCCGCTTATTCGGCTGCATTTCAATAAAAGTTACGTCGTATTTAAACAGAGAGGCGCAAACTATTATGGCGAAATGTCTCGGTGGGGAACTGGGTTGGTTGTCAAGTTCATGACGTCATGGTCCAAAGGTGGCGGTTCTTCTTCATCTTTAAGGGAGCTCACATGGTTTTACTTTGAAGGGGCGCACAGTTTCCTGTTTTAATCTGAAACCCCGAAGTTAAGAAATAAAGATTAACAGGCATAATTGACTGCTATATGTATCCCTTATTTTCAGAATTGATCATTTTTTGGGCAACTTTTGCTTCTACTCCTCAATTTTTTATTTTTTTATTTTTATTTTTTCAGTTATCTCTACTTTCTACTCCTTACATTTGAAAAATAGACTCAAAAATAGAAATAGATAAATAATAATAAATAGATACATAAAAAAAGACTAATTAGTTATGTTTTCATTTTAGTTATGGCCTGTTAGTATTAAAAAAAAAACATAAAAAAATTTGTTCATCCAGACAATATCTTTGTGATTGGACTCAGTGTCGCACCAACTTCTTATTCGCCTCATACCAAAATAAACAGTTTTCCAGATGATGTAAAGTTAAATTTGACACTGCTACCATTAGTTATAAAACCACAAAAATGATGAGGAACTTATCATCCAGAATGGTAGAAAAAAGTTCCTTTAATAGGGTGGTACAGTAACCAATATGAGGTGTAAAGCATCTGCCCATAACATTTTTTCCTGCATTACTTTTATACTTTAAGTAGTTTTAAAAATTGTACTTTTACACTTTTGCTTGAGTAAAACGTTTCAGTTAACAATCTTACTTCTACAAAATTGTTTTTAAACAGTAGGATTTATACTTTAGTAATAGGCCTATATATTATTACTTCTGACACTTCTGCTGGATACACAGAGGAAGGCCGTGTCCCCACAAAAGATTAGGCAATAAAGCACCGTCTGGTATCATTTGGTGGCAAAAAAAAACCTGTAGGAAAAAAATATTTTTAATCAATATTTTCTTTAATTATGAATAATACTTTTTCAGGGTTTTTACTATTTTAAAACAATGTTGACTGAAAACTTTTTTTTTTCTTGGACTTTTACTACTTAGAAGCTCACAGTAAATTTCTAAATCAGAGGGACAGGATGTAAATATACCAACATTATGATTATAATTCATTTAAAAAGTATAGTGCAGCCCTATAAAGCCTGGTGTTTTAACAGAGATTTGTAAAAATAGTAGGTCAAACACAATTCTGTGCTGTGATTGGCGAAACCCTGAGCCCACACAAAGACGTTTTCCTTTTGTGTTCAAACACAGTGGAAAATAAATCCCTTTAATACATATTTTATTCCACTACAGCTCAATCAGATTACTAAGTTATCTCTTCAGGATGCCATCCAGTTTGGAAAGAGGTATAGCAATGGGTCACTCATTTGATTAATCTGGGTTTGACCAGGGATACATCTAAGAACTGTAGGACAGTAGATCTTGAGGTTTTGAAACCCCTGGTCTAACCGATCTCTGATATGTGCTGAAGATTTTTGGAGGCCTATCCATGAGGCCAATGTTGCCTTTTCTTTCTGCATTTACATAATAAAAAAAAATGACACATATATAACTAAATGTCACTCAAGTTTTTCATGTAGACAAAAACACAAACATTTATCAACAAATCAAACAAAGTGGGTGGTAAATAAACGGAGCAATAATGCATGAACTTCACGTGAACTCAAGGCCGCTGAAAGCACAAATCAATTGGCGAATGCATCCATGTATCAGCCGATGCAAGAAAAGAGCTTTAATATCAGTCGCTCTCTAATCCTCATGTCCTTGAGACATTCATATTATCTATTGAAGTCCAGTCCTCCATTATTTTGCAGCTTTTTACAGAGAAATTCAGGGAAGTAGAGGAGATCTCTGATGCCCTTTTTTCGACACATCGTGCTTCAGTTGAATGATTCTTGACCGGACCACGTGTTTCTAATCCAGAGGCAGGAAGGGACCAAATAATTTTTGTCAATCAAAGTTGCAAGAAATAAGCCATCTGCAGCAAGAGACAAAAAGAAAAGCGCTTTCAGAAGAAAATGGCAAGAGTGATACTCGATATGGAAACATATGATGGCACGGCCTTGGCTTGTTATCATTGAACACAGTGTGGTTTCCAAGTCTTGAGCTGCCTTCAAACATCTAGAGCCATCTGGGCGATACCATCTTCTTCCTGCGTTGCTGTGGCAAGAAAACCAGAATCAATACATCAAGGTTTCATTTTTGTTGCATCGTATAAAGCAATGAATTGTTAGATTTTTAATTCAACGGACACGTTAGAGATAAAGGTGGAGACGTCAGATTTTAACGCAATATCTTAAACCTTGGATATTGTTAACAGAGCACTGTTTAGGGCATCACTGGGAAAAAACAACAAGAGTGGGTGCAATACCAAATCTACCAAGATAAGGCTGACCTAAACTGAAAGACTGTGTGTGGCAAACCCCATGGTAGCTCTTGGGAAGCAGCAGAGAGCCACAGCTCAGGTTGGAGAACCTGATGATAGCCGGGCGATTGGAAAGAAGGAGAAGACGATGAAAAAACAGAGAGCAGAGAAAATGTGCACTGCTGGAAGAACTGCAGTGAAATGGTGAAAAGAAAAGTGAAATGGTGTGCTCAAAGATCACCTTGCACATTTTGAGTATGATTGGCTCAACCTGCTGCTGTGAAGCAGGATTCTCCACCATGAACAGAATCAAAAATAAATATCGATCCAGGCTCAAAATGAGCACCTTGATATGTGCTTGAGAATGGCTTTGTCACCATTTAAGCCCTGCAGGGCAGCATAAAGCCCACTTCTCTCATTAAGTCATAAAAAAAAAGAAATAAACTATCAGTTCAGATGTTTTTTTTTAAATATATTTAAATCAGGAAATTGTCTATGTATCATACTGAAAGATTGTTGTTCTCTACTTCAAAGGACAATTTAGATTTTAAAATGGAAAACATTTTCTATTTTTTTTTTTTTAGATATTTTTTTTTTATTTAAAAAGTCAATGGATAACATGGATGCATGAACAAATAATTTTATTTAAGTGTTAAATTTTGTTTAAAGTAACAGATTATAATTAAAAATGTCTCTGGACCTTTACTAGTTGATGATTTTCTTTATTTGAACTCCACAGATTTTTAATTGGTTACCCCTGGTGTAGGCAATGATAGACATTTTGATTGACAATAACCTGATTTAGCACACTCAAAAAAATCATGTGACAGCCAGGGCTGTTGGGGCCTGGGAGTCCTCCCTCTGTTTTTGGGCTACTTTTTCCTTCATTCTCCTCAGGTGGACTCTGAGAGGAGGATTCACAGGTGTGACTCATTAGGTGGAGGTTTAAAAGGTTTTAGCTGCCAGCCTTTCTTTGCCAGTGTTTATCAGTGTGGTCTGCTGCTAGCCAGCCTTTTGTCTCCAGTGTTTCTTCCTTCCAGCAAATTTTCTCACCTTGTCTTTGTGGTCTCCCTCTCAGGTTATCCCTGTGTTCCTGGATTCAATCTCCAGAGATTGATCGCTTTCTCACAACCAGATTCAAGTGTTTTCAGAAAAAATAGCCGTGCATTCATGCCAGCTGGCAGCCTCCCAACAATCACCTTCTCTGATTTCCACCTCAGATCGAACTCTGCTCACACTTCAATGATTCATTCTCAAGCCATTCCAAAAAAGTTAAAAACAAACCACTGAACTTTGTATTCCAAGTTTTAAGAGGTTTTGCTTCCCATCCAGAAAGCTTTCTCAGTTCAAAATGTCTGGAGTAGCATCAAACCACCCACTGGGCCGAGCATGTCCCCAATAAAACAGAAAGGAAGCACAAAGAACAGAAAAACATCATAGATGCTATCCAAACCTGTGGATTTCATAACTGTGCATCTGTCAAATCAACAAGGAAATCCAAAAGACACGCAGCAGAACATAACGGTGAGGAAATGAAACCAAAAAATATCAGCATCCCCATAGTTGCTGGGGTCTCTGAAAAAAACAAGGATTTTCACCAAACACAAAATCCCAGTACATTTCAAACCAAACAAGATCCTTAAACAGAGACTGGTGCATTCTAAAGACAAAAGCCATAGACCAAAGATGATCGAAGAGGTGTATGCAGTTCAATGCAGTGAGGAAAGCTCTGATCTTTATATTGGAGAAACTAAACAACCTCTTCACAGACGCATGGCTGAACACAGGAGAGCTACCTCCTCCGACAAGACCTGGCAGTACATCTACACTTGAAGGACAAAGGACACTCGTTTGAGGACAAAAATGTTTAAAATTAACAGAGATATTAAGTACTTACTGATTAAAAATGTGTCTATAATGTATCACTATTTATGAGCCATCTATAAAGGGGGGCTTATTGCAAAGTGGTATCAATGTTTGTATTAAACTACTACTACGTGGGCCTGGGCCAATGTTGCAGGATCCTGGCAATACTTCCTTAACCAATATGATCTCATCTAGTCTAACAGAAACTAAAATAAAAGGTAACATGGTGCACAGTTTAGGGTGTGACTTAGGGAACTATCTACATAAGTGAATAACACACATCCTATACATTCATCTTTGCTATTTGCCATGCATTAACTACTTTTCACCAATAGATGGCGCCTCAGAACCATACACAGAACTAAAGCTCTACAACCTGTAAACTGATTTCAAAGTTTAGTATCTCATCTATTTCTGATGTATTGCAGATCTTGGGAGGTTTGTAGACACCCCTACCCTGTTAACATACCATGCTTTTGTGATGGGAAAATAAAATCAAGGCTATGATCAATCTCTTTAAATCTTTTGCAGATTTGATGTGATACAGTATTTTATTTGTTAATGTTTTTAACTCTTCACTATTATGTTATTGTTATATACTTTTCTAAAGTCCACATTTGTGTGACCATTTTCTATAATCTTTTTGCTGCTGTAACACCAACATTTCCCCATTGTGGGACAATAAAGTGATTTTCTATTATAATCTATATATTGTCTTATTAGATCAAATGCCAAAAAAAACAAATGGAAATGTTAATGGGGCGACAGGGGCGTTGAATGAAGGAGTTTGCTCTGCAACTGGAGGGTTGTTGGTTCAAGTCC